AGGTGGGATACTTCTTAATTGTATATTCACCTTGGCAGTGCAAACATCTGAAAGAGCTGAGTGGATTACTCACTAATAAGGAAATTAGTGCCTCAAGTAAGACTTCATTATCTGAAAATTTAAATAGCAAATCTCCCATGAGATAGGATCTTGTTCATGACGGGAAGGCTATGCTCATTCAGTTTATTTAGCAGCCATCTGAATGAGAAGTAGTGACCAGCTAATAAAGTTAGCAGCTTTACAGCTCTTGCTATAATCCCAGCTTTCTTAGATTTTATTTATGTGAAAAGTCAGCCTGTCACCCAACTGGCAGATAATGGCTGTGAGTTAATTCAATGCCATATAAGGAAATCCTTCCCAAAAATGTGGATCTTAATAAAAATGTCTTCGTGGTCTCTTTTAACCATCATACCCAGGCTCCTCCTGTGAGGCAAGAGAGTACATTGTCACTGTTTTACAGGCAGAGAACCAGCCAGCCAAGTGCATTGTCTACTGCCACATAGGAAGCCTGAAGAACTGAACCCCATCTCAGCTGCAGCTCTAACCCAGAGAACATCCATCCTCTTTCTGCAGAAAGATATCCAGTGTTCTTTAGCAGAGAAAGCTAGAACAAGTAAATCCAATGTGTCAGGCTAGGTCCTGCAGTTACCTGATTACACAGAAAACTCAGGGTTTTTATTAAAAAACCCAAGCATCTTGCCATCATGGATGTGAAGAGCATTGCAGAGTGGCTGGTGCAGTGGTATCTGCCTGAGCCTGAGGTGTGTGCTTCCAGCCTTCACTTCCCTGCATTGCTTTGAACTTCCCCCTGCATAACCACCTCAGCAAACCACACTTCGTAGCTGGAGGAGAAATATGGTGGGACAAACCTCCTTTCGAGTACATTTTGAATCATGTACATAACTAAGATTACATGTAATAAAATGTACAGTCTGGAAGTGCTTTGCATTTAATCCAGGGGAAAACCTTACATTTTTTTATGGTAATGTTGCTTAAAAACCAGGATAGTGAAAGTATTTAGGTCCCTCTGTGTGATCACCCCGTGTAAGTACTTCTGCTGAGGACTAAAAAGGTTGTAGCAGCTTTTCTTCCATGTATTAACTTAGAATTTTAATCTATTGAGGTTTTCAGCAATGTAAGTAGTATTTTCTGTATGATAGAGCTAAAAGTATTGCTGTGTCGACTGAAGCTTGGCTGTTGACAAAAGAATGTCTTGAGCTTTATCAATTCAAGCACAGTGCTTCTTAGTGCAATTTCATTGGCCTGCTGAGACAGTAACAGTTTATATGAAGATATAACTTAGTCGCGGCATGGCTGGAAAAGTGTCAGCAGTTTTTGGCTCATCTGTGAATATGGCTGATCTTTTTTTGCATGTGATCATAAATACCAAACAAACCTGAATGGTACATGATAACTAATAATGAAGTTTGGTTGTTGTTTTTGGTCGTTTGTTTTTTTGTTTTTGTTTTCCTTTTTGTACAAAACACTTTTATAAAAGAGAATAGCACATTGAAATAGAAGGATCTTAAATTACATTTCCACTTCAAAAAGGGCATCTTGTTCTGTATGGTCTGAGCAGTGTTTCCCAACAGAATAATTATGACCTGGATATCCTGGATACTTACTGCACTTACTGCAAGGGTAGGGGTGTCTTTACACTTAGCACACTTGATATGAGAGATTGTAAGGGATGCCGTTGAAAACAAACAGTACAAATCAGTATGTGAATATTTGGATTGGGTTCTTTCCCATCATTTTTTTTTTGCTGATGTAGGTTTGGTGGAGATAGTGCAGCCACCCCTCATGCTAGTGTAAGTAAAAACCAGAATCATGCTCATGTTAATGCAAAATTGTAATCCATAAGAGGAAGGAAAATATTAGTTTATTTGTCAAGCAATTTATTCCACTCAAACTGTGAGAATCTTTTTGTATCATTATCCCATTATCAGTGGCTAAATAAGGAACTGAAAATCTACAGAGGAGCTGGGTGGGGACCTAAGAAAGCAATTCAGCAGTCTGGAACTTCCTCTGCTAAGCAATTCTGGCACTAAACCGAAGCAAAATCAGTTATTCAGCCAAAATAAATCTGTGCAATGACGATATCAGATGTGAGGTAACAGCAAGTCACACTGGAGGATATCAGACATTTTTGTGTAAACCACAGGGCCTAGATATATATAATCCTTTGCTATTATGCTGCAGCCCTGCCAGCAAAGCAGACACAAATTTCAGAGTCATTATGGGAAGGCAAGCAAGAGCATATGGAGTCTATGTGCTTAGGGTGGGAGTTGGCAAGCTGCTGAGCACCTTCAGCTCACACGCCCCCAATAGCCATGAAATATCCTTCATTCCCACACTGATCCCTGTGGAAGAAAGCAGCTCTGTACTATCATTTCCACAAGAAACAGCTGCAAGGCTCATTGAAGTCTTTGCTGCCAAGATGTCACTGATCAAACTTTTCTACCACTAACCTTGCTGTTTTCTTTCATTTTTCTGTGTCCTTATGTCTGGTCATATTTTTAAAAGCAGTCAGGTAGTCTCAGTGTAAGAAGTTACTGCCCATCATCCCAAGCAGTGTAACCAGCCAGGTGTCCACTCCTGACTTACATTAGCAAACCTTGCTTTTCAGTTGTGCTGGGTAGTAAGACACTCCGAGGTGAAAGTGAGAGGTGATCACTTCTTTCTGCTTGCCCCACCTCTGCAATACTCAGGCAGCCTTCCCAGCAGCACAGTTGAAGCCTGAAACAGTTTTCCTTCAATGCCTTGTGCCTCTCACTAAGAGGAGCTGGACCAGGTATCTGGTGCAGTACCATTGGCAAGCCTGAGCCTTTGATGTGCACACACCAGCTATCCCTGCCTGGTCTAAAAAGCAGTAGCTTGCTACATTGTAGTAGCACAAGATTTTCTGATCAAGATTCCTGCATCCTTAACTGTCTTTGCTATTAAAATGTGCTAGACCTTTGGTTCACTGGTTCTTCCAAAATAACCTTTTAGAAAAAGGATCTTGGGGCACTCCTAAGATACATTTATACACCCCACGTATGGGCATATTTCTTCCTACCTGTTTTCCTTCTCACTGGCTCAGATATGCACAGAGCTTGCTTTTCTTTTTTGCATCAGGTGTTTCAGGAATCCCACATTGCAGATCCAATTTGACTCATTTGTATGGTATTTGGCTACTGTGCCTGCAAAACTCAAACTAATTTATAAGCTAACTTGAAATGCTGAATTATGGACTTGAGTAAATGAGTTAGTGTGTATTGTAGTTTAGGACTACTAAACACTGAAATGTAGAGATGGAATAAAGTTTGTTCCATGTAAAAGCGGGGATATTTTCTTAGAGGTAATAAATTCAGTGCAGAGCAAATTTATTTAGACTCTGATTCCTAAATTGCTTGGATAATTAAAACCTGTGATGGGTAAGATCACACGTGGTAGGAAAAGGTTAAGTATTTAAACTCAGTTTTTTCATAGTTTGAATCATTGTAATGTAAATACTACTTGTGTGGGGTATGTTAACTCTATTTCTAAATGAGTAGTGAATAGTGGTTATTTCATACAGTTAAGAAAATGGAAAGCTAAACTTTTATGATATTTATATGGGCCAGTGCGAGAGAGAAAGATGTAAGCACTGAGGAGAAGTGTAAGCACTGCAGAAACTGTGTCATTTTGACCATACAAGGGTCTAGCTGCCTGGTTAATGTCTGGCATTTATGTGAATTCCAGTTCTTCCAGATATCTATTTTTATCCTTCATTAAATTCTTCTTGGAGTGACACAACAGAAATCCCAACGCTAAGAATAATTTCCCAAATCTTTTTCCTCTTTTCTTTAAATAACATTATGCAAATCTCCAATTACTATGCTTAATTTGGGATCAAGATGAAATAAGAAGTGGGATAAAGATTAACCCACCTCTGCTGACTGCTGGAACACTAGGCTGTATGTTCCCTAGCAAGGACTACTGCATAGATTTTCCATTGGTGTGCCACTCCCTTTGTTTCTATTTTTCCTGCTTATTGATTGAAAAAACAGACTGAAGCCTCCCTATTTTTAATCTGAAAATGACATTGATAATGAGCTTAGCCATGCCTGAAAGAGTGCATTCTGCAGTGGAATAAATGTGGATTTAGCCCATGTGTGGAACCATGCACAGTCTGCCAGCAGCCAGCATCCACAGCTCTGGGACACATCTTTGGGTTGCTGCAGGGCTAAGAAACTATTACATATTTTTTTTATGTTAAAGATAGTTTTCAGTCTCTTAATTTAATTTTATTATTTTTTTTTTAAATCACATATCAACAATCAGGTTTCTACTTCAACAACTAATGTGCCAGTTTCTTGTGTTATGCATATATATTTATAGATGTGTGGTGTTAGTTTTTCTACAATGGGCAGAATCCAGATCATCATTTCTAAAGCTGAAAGGCTGCTGTACATGCTCAGTCTGCCACCTAGACATTTTAATGGAAATATCCATCTGCAATGATCTGGGAGCAAATTCTGACACCTTTACTTATGTTATACCTAATTCTGCACGTCATCCCATTGAATGACTTCATTTAATGAGGTCAGAAAATAAATAATTTGAGTCTGAGAAGCTAGCCTGTAATTTGCCATTTAGTAGATGTGGACTAATGAGGGTTATGGACTATTTACTGCATTTCCAGGCATTCCACTTAAAGTCTATCTGTGTAAGAAACTGTATTTCAACACACTTAAGACCAGGTTTTGCTTGTGTTGAATTGTGTCACTTTGTTTTGTTCACCTGACATCAGCTTACACTAAGTGAGAAGTTAGATTAGAATATTTTTTCTCACTGAGATAATCTGTTAATAGAGTGGGAGGACATTGTAAATCTAGCTTTTTTTAGTTCATGCTGAACAGCCTGAATCAAACAATTGCACTTCACCAAAGGTAATATTGTGAGTTCTTCTGTAAAATGGAATGTAAATATACTCCCCCAATAGGAATAATGGTTTTTGTTCCTCTTTTTGGCAGCAATATGAGAACTGGCGACCAAACCAGCCAGACAGCTTCTTTTCTGCTGGAGAAGACTGTGTTGTTATAATATGGCATGAGAATGGGCAGTGGAATGATGTACCATGCAATTATCACCTTACTTATACCTGCAAGAAAGGAACAGGTACAAACTGTACAGTACCAATAGCATAAGTCTCTGAATTCCAATTTTATAAAGTTAAAAGGACAAATTATATTTAATTTCTGTTGATAGTACAATGAGCCCTCAACCTATTTAGCCTCCCAAAGTCTTTCTTCCAGTGTGTACACATATGATATCTTTTCTTCAGTCAGGCACAGAAGTGTACACAATTGAAACTTGGTTAACATCAGGCAAATTTCTTCTAGGTACAGAGCTCAGTAAAATAACCATTCACATACTTGGCAGGCTGTTTTACTTGTATATCAAATATTACCAGCTCTCCTTTCCTGGGATGGCATCAAGGTGGACTGCATGGGCAGCAGAATATTGGTAGGCAGTTAGAGCTGGAAGCTGATTGCTAATATGTGTATGTATATATATATATATATAATATGTAAAATACAAATATATGTATACACAAAGCTTTTCAGCTTCAGTGAAGCATACTTTTTACCTTTCAAGTACTGTTGACCTTTGTCTTCCTCTTTTCCAAAACCATCTAGATCGATGGCACTACTGGAATCTGAAAAGCACATTTGGTGTATACAGTTAGAGCTGATCCTTACAGGGAACCTGACTGTTACCAGGAGCTGTACAGCAATACTTTAGGAATTGCCTCTGCCTCTGCAGACTGGGAAAGTAAAGATGCAGCCAAAATCTTGTGTGTTCTCCATTGTTCCCAACTACCATTTAGAACTTTTTGTTAACATGTCCTCTGGCCCTTGACAGATCCATCAGTTTAAAGTGATTTTTAATAGTCTATTGTTGAGGAAGACACAAGAAGTATTGAAAATGTGGCTTTTTTATTTAAATGCCTGTAATGACTTCACTGGTTTTCAGGTTTTGCAGCTTTCCAGTGAAAATCCCTTCTTTGTGTGAGTATGCCAACCTTTTTGGCTCAAATTTCCCTCAGACATGTAAACAAAAAAGGCAATACGAACTATACCATCTTCTGTTTTCCAATTTTTGTCATTGCTGTATTTGGTCTACAAGACCAGAGAACTACAGAAAAAGACTGATCTGCCTGGCCTTATTTGCATGTGTCTCTTGGGAGTCTATCTGAGGTTCCTTGACATCTTCCCTTAACCAAGGTTTAGAGGACAGTACCACATTCAGAAGTTCATTTACAAACTGAAGTTTTGGGTTATGTTCTCTCTTCCTTTCAGTTGCTTGTGGACAGCCTCCTGTTGTAGAAAATGCAAAGACCTTTGGGAAGATGAAACCCCGTTATGAGATCAACTCCCTTATTAGATATCACTGCAAAGATGGTTTCATCCAGCGTCATATTCCAACCATCCGGTGCCAAGGGAATGGAAGATGGGATATGCCTAAAATTACTTGCATGAATCGTGAGTTCTTTGAAAGCAAACCAGTGCTAGATCAGCAACAATAGACTGACTTAAGATTAATAAGTAATGAACATATATTTTGAGAGAAACGCAAATCTGATATGACTGATTATGACAGCAATACTGTTCGCTCTATCTGTAGGAAAAGAATTCAGGCCTCCAAAACTGATGAAAATGTTCCTCTTCTTTTTTTTTTTACTGAGATTCTTTTAAAGTAAACAACAAAACCTTTACAAAACCCCTGAAATCAACAGTTTCCTAATAACACTAACGAGTCGTTCTGCAACTGCAGTCTAACTTCATGTACGAGATGCTTCTCCTGTCTGTAACATGGTCATAGTACTAGTTAAATCCTTGTTAGCCCTCTAATTAATCAATAATAAATGGGACTGTAATGTGAAGTGTAGCCAGCCAACGGTGTGACGTTCAACAAGACCAAGTGCAGGGTCCTGCACTTTGGTCACAATAACCCCAGTCAGGGCTACAGCCTGGGGGCAGAGTGGCTGGAGAGCAGCCCTGCAGAGAGGGACCTGGGAGCACTTGGTTGACAACCAGTTGAACATGAGCCAGCAGAGTGCCCAGGTGGCCCAGAAGCCAATGGCATCCTGAGTTATATCAGGAATAGTGTGGCCAGCAGGAGTAGAGGTGTGATTCTCCCCCTGTACTCAGCACTGGTGAGGCCTCAACTCCTACTGTGTCCAGTTCTGGGCTCCTCACTTCAAGAAGGATATTGAGGTGCTGGAGCAGGTCCAGAGGAGAGCAACAAGGCTGGTGAAGGGACCAGAGGGAAAGTCATAGGAGGAGAGGCTGAGGGAGCTGGGGTTGTTTAGCTTTGAGAAGAGGAGACTCAGGGGACCTTCTCACTCTTTTCAAGTACCTGAAGGGAGGTTGTGGTCAGGTGGGGATCAGGCTCTTCTCCCAGACAACCAGTGACAGGTTGAGAGGGCACGGCCTGAAGCTGCACCAGGGGAGGTTTAGGTTGGGTATGAGGAAACACTTGCTCACAGAAAGGTGATCAGACATTGAAATGAACTTCCCAGGGAAGTGGTGGAGTCATCATCCCTGGATGTGTTCAAGGAAAGGCTGGATGTGGCACTTAGTGCTATGGTCTAGCACATGTGGTGGCATTAGGTCATAGGCTGGCCTTAATGATCTCAGAGGTGTTTTCCAGTCTCAATAATTCTGTGATTCTGTGAAATAATTCTAAACTGATTTCCCTTTTTCCCTCCTTCTCATTGCAGCGTCCACATACCAAAGGACTTACTCTAAGAAATACTACTATAAACATTCTTCATCAGGAAAGGGAACGTTGTTAAATTCATCAAAACACTATCACCGCTGGATCAGGACGTGGCAGGACTCAAGGCGCTGAGAGCTAAATGGTGAATGGGGATTTCCACCATTTCAGCCAAAGTCGTAACTTTCTGTGCCTTTTCTATCACTTAATAGGAGTATTATCAAATTGTTTTGAAACTATGGACTGCGGTATTCACAGTGCGTTTTGCAAAAATACGGTGTTTATCAGAAAATTTAGGAAAATTAAAAAAAAAAAAAAAAAAAAAAAAAAAGGAGAAGTGCTTTTGGGGAAAAAAGGAAACCATTTCCAGCCTATAAAGATTATTAGTTTTCTATATGCCATCAGTGTGGACCATTTTATGATAGATACCAGCCTTCTGCAATATTTAAACAGCTCGATTTTAGCACCAATGAAAATGTAAATAAGATGATTTTAATGTTGTTTAATTGTGTGTTGTTTTTAAAATCCTGTATATAAAATGAAAAGTCACACTAATTTCAGGCATATTTATGGTTAGAATGGCCTCAGAGGTCTTCAGTCATTAATGACGTTGTTTTTATGTTGTTTACCTAGGCTGGAAATGGTTGAAATAACTTCACTGACTGAAATTTGCTAATATCAGGTGAAGATAAACACACAAGTTACATGATGGTTTGTTGTTTGTTTTGTTTTGGTTTTTTTTTTGTTTTGTTTTTTCTTTTTAAAGGAAACTGTGCCAGTTCCTATCTAAGGTACAGTTTGATCCATGTGATGCAAAATTTAGACAGAGCACATACAAGTGGAATGAAGCATGAACTAGGGACTGCAATGTGGAACTTTTTTTCTGCTCTCCATTCCAGCTTCACCATTCATGAGAAACGACTGCATGGAGGAGATGCGTGTGACAAAGAGGGCCTGTAAAAACCCAAGTGCTAATACATTAACTTTATCAACCAGGGCCACTTTTTTGAGAAGAAGAAGAAAAAAACCCAACAAAAACGAAAAAAAAAAAAAAATCACGACATTAACCACAAAGTCTAAATTACAGGTCTCTGCATTTTAAAATGGAGACAGACCTGATGTTTGGGGGATTTTTTTTTTTTTTTGTAAAAAACAAACAAAAATCAAAAAAGTAAATAATTTTGTATATATAACCATTTTTTAATCTTTTTATAAAGTAATGAATGTTTGTGTATGAATGCTGCAGCTGTGAAGCGTACATAAATAAATGAAGTAAGCCATACTGATTTAATTTATTGGATGTTATTTTACCCATGCAAAGAAGATTAAAAGAGCTCGCCAGTGCAGTATTAGCCCCTGAGCTCCACTTTTGGAACCATCTTTCAGTTCAACTGCTATTTCCCCGGAGAACAAAATTCCTGCTAAACAGGATCATTTGTTTGCAGTTAGATGGGTGAGAACTGTGTGACTTACAGAAGAATCAGAATCTTGGCTTTCTAGAAAGAAGTGTGTGCACAAGGAGGTTTTAGGTTGTAGTTGGTGCAGTGTGTACGTAGGAGTTTTATATTATGATTTCTTACCCTGGTCAGCTTGATGACTGACCTGGATGTGTACAGTAAGTGTAGCAGGTAATGTTTGAAATCACCTCTCCACAGACAGGACTGTTATTTCTGCAAAGTGCCTTGCACACCTTTGGGCACAGGACAAAAAAAAAAATAAAATAATAAAGAAATAGTGAAATTAAAGAACAGTAAGTTTCTTAATGATATAACATTTAAAGTAACATTACAAATACAAACACAGATGGGAGGTTTAGGTGTTTGTGTTAGTGTGGGGATACGATGCAAAGAAGTTGAAAGGGAAAGGAAAAGAATGGAAATCCAGCCAACATGTATGAGTTTTGTACTAGACAGAGCTGCCCATGGTGTGACCTTGCCATAGCTCATTAGGAACAGCAATTACAGTTCCAGACAACATCACTTAAGGAATTGCAGTGACTGCTCCATTGAGCATACCCACTCTTGGTGCATTCAGCGTGGCAGCACGTCACCATGTTGGCAAGTTCATTCCCCACCCCTTGCCCCCAAACAATGCACATAATACTTTTCTCTATTTATATTATTATCTTGTATAGTGTATAATGTGAATGTCTGGTATTTTTTGTGAATGAAAGTCTAAAATCTTTGTAACTTTTATATCTGCTTCTGTTTCACCAAAGAAACAAGGTTTTGCTATACTGTGACTTGTCTTGTTATTGCATGTCTTCCTGTTTAAATCTATGCAATGTGATTTTTTTTTTCATATGAATACAATTAGACTGTCAGATACTTTACAATTATCATGGGCTTAGTCAAATGCCCATTGGAGTCAAAGAGAGTCAGCTGGCTGAACTTCAGTAGGTGCTGGATTTGACTTTATATGAGCAGCTGTAGGGGATATTTTAAGATATACATTGTATGTTTTGAAGTCAATTATTGCTTGTATAAGTCAAGGCTCTGTTCATAAATATACAGTATTCTACACATCACTTCCTTGTACCAGAAACATACAGAACAGAAAATATATTTTAACACTTGCAAACTTTCTCACCATATGTATAAAAAACCCTGCATAGATTTGTTGTTTTCATGTCTACTTGTTGGATTTAAACAATGTTGTATGGCATTCAGATAACATTGTGATTGTAGTTTTAAATAGGTTAGACACAGTGCTTATATTGAATTTTTTTTTCACCTCCTTCTATTATTCATAATAAAGTAGGACTGACAACATTCCTTATTAAAACAAAACAAAACAAAACAAAACACACAACAACAAAAATCTGTTACCCATGCTTGTTTATTTAGACAGAGAATGGAACTTTACACAACTCTGGAGACTTTTTCTCATATTGATCTAAACACCAAGTGTTCCAATACCAACCACCTGCAAAAGGCACCCACTCGTCTCACAAAGCTGGCTCTGCTGAGAAGCTAGGGCTTCCACAAGTGCTGTAATTCCTTTACATGGAACAATTTAGAACCATATGTGGAATCATGTTGGGATTGGAGCAGAGGGATAGAAGATAAAACTAGAGATGCAAAAGCATATTTTCTGAGTAAGTGTGTCTTAGCTCTGATTTCCTGACTTTCAGGTTAAACCAGAATTATTTTTAAGTTATATTTTAAAGTTACCAAGTATCTCCTTCAGAGGTAGAAGAGTCGGCTCAAAATTGTGTTTTACAAGTACAGGCAAGACATTAGACAAGTATTTCTGTAGTAATCTTCCCCTGTTGCATAGGTATTAAAATTCCTGCCTCTACTAACACACTGTCTGCCTTTTTAAAGGATGAAGCAATGGCTGGATGTCACAGTTTGACTCAGGTAAAAAGTTAGGAGAGGATGAGGCTTTGATGATTAAGTCATTAACTTATAGGAGTTCAGATGTGCACTGTACACCTTGGGTCATCAGCACATGGAGTATCTGGTTCAACCAGGACTCAGGCTGCAGGTTTGTGCACAGAGCTCAGAATGCCATGTGAAAGCAATTGCATTTTGTGTGCCCATGAGCACCTCTGCAGAGCAGCTGTTATTACTCTGAACATCATCCTGTCCCTTCAGATGTTGACAGTACTCGACTTCCCAGCATGAACCTCAGAGCATGGAGTTCACCTCCTGCAGAAGATAACACCTGACAGGGTAGAAAAAAACAGGCCACCTATTTCAGTAGAGGTGCTCAAACAGCAAGAAAAGGTGCTGGTTAGTGGCAATACTCCTCTATTCCAGCTGTGCCCTAAAAGATGCACAACCTCTTGAAGCTAAGTAGGGGTGGGGAGCGGGGGGTGGAATACAGCTCCCTGATGGCAGATCTCCTTGAGGGACATTGGTTTCTATGGGATCTCTTGCTTGAGATTCTCCTGCAAGCAGCAGCTCATCATAATATGGGGATGGAAAAGCCCTGTAGGGGAAAACACAAGTCCTTCCCTGGAAGTGCAGCAAGTTTGCCAGCAAGGTACAAACAGGCTGGCAGGGGATTGCCAATGGAAAAAGCCTGGAAAGAGGGATGGCACTTATAGCTTTGCCAGGGCAGTGGCTGGAGGAACATCATCTAAGGTGCAGACTATGGGCATGGTTAAGGTCTATGTCTGTAATATTTAAGCAAAAACTCTTCATCTCTCTAGGCAGCATCTTCACTCTGAGCATACACAGAAACCAGTGCATGCAAGCAGGGACCTTCCCTTGGCAACAGGAGGCCAAAACTGCTATAGCTGGTGAGAGTTTGAGCTGTAAAAGCTCAGGAGCACAAAGGCCTGGGGTGACTGAGGAGGAAGTGAAGCAAATGGAGGAGGAGGAGCTGCTACTGTAAATGCTATTGGGTAGCTTATGAAATCCTGGATCCTGCTAAGATCATGACTTGTAGATACAATTAAATCCTTAGTTAAACACTTCTAATGAGTTTGGGGTTTAGTTTTTATTTTTTTCCACGTTGTGCATTCTGACATCTTGCGTTTGGAAGACCTATGGTTTTGTCTATGGTTTTGTCTGCTAAGAACTCTTGCTGCAGTTGTATCTCAAAAAAGCCCAAAACCCAGGTTGTTCTTCAGCATCAGTATGGCTGCTGAAGATGCAGCAGCTGCAAAGATGCCTCCTAGAGCTTCTAGGCACATCTGTGAACTTCAATGACATTTGCAGACAGAGGGGTATGGATGGACCCTATTTTGAAATGGACTTATGTCTTGGTCCAGCTGCTAAGGAAAGAGAGTGGTCATGTCCTCAGTTAAAAGGCTTGCAATGTGCTGTCCCATCCCCCAGGGGTACAAGATGACTTCAGCTCTCCAGGTGGAACGTTGCTTCATTACCAGAAGATGTTTCAGGTGTTGCATACCAAAAATTACTGGAAAAATCTCTTGGACCAGTGTTACTGTGTTAATGCACAAAGGCAAATGCAAATCCTCTTTTTCAGAGAAAATGCACAACTTGTGTTATTGATTGTAAGCAGCAATGTATGTAGGACTCTCTGAGCACACAACACATGCAAACAATGTGTGGACAGAGCACAGAAAAAAGCTTACAGATTACACAAGGTTGCTATCATGGTGAAGTCAAGAGTTACAGTCATTGTAAGGACACAAATATCATCCAGAAAAAGTTGTATCATTTCAACACTCCAGCGGTAGACCTGGAGGGAAACTTCAGAGCCTGTAAAGTCCAAACTGATGTCAAATTTTGGTTTTCACAGCAAATAAATATTTTCAAGTGGGGAAGCCATCAGCTGTTACTGCTATTAGAGGTGAAGTTACTGTGTAAATGAAGATTAAAAAAAAGAAATGGCACTTCGAGGTGTATTAGTGAGGAATTTATTGCAAGGATTCATGATATCACGGAAAGTGTCTCCAGATTTCCAGCTGCCAATAGCCAGAAGAAATTAATTCAAGCTGGAAATGGTCCAGCAGGCTGCTTCTGGGATAGTTGGAAGAGGGGAGAAGCTAAAAGGAAGCCAACACTTGTGGAAGTCCTGCACAGGTGCAGCAGTCTTAAGAAGCAATTGCATGGCTTCTGGTTTCAAGCTCTAGAAGTTGTATCATGTGGTGGGAAGCCCTATGGCAGGAAAATGTCCTTACTGCTTGAAGACAGGAAGTAATCGGCTTAGTAAAGGGAATAAATTCTGTGGTTGTCTTTGGTAGCAGGAGAATGGCAGGGATTTTAGT